ACCCAGTTTAAATGGATTTATTTTAATAAAAGTTGGTGAATGTATTTATCTTACTGTAAATAACGAGTGAAAAAATGTTCAGCCTTATCAGTTGGACATTCCGGTTTTTATACTGCTTTTTTTTAATTCACTAACGCTCTAAAAATGAATATTTCAGCCGCAGTAAAGAATCAACGTTGGCGGATTTTGGTTCTTGACATCCTTTACGATCGGTTACGATGCCTAGAGTACCGAGACCTGTACGATTTCGTCAACTTAGTGAGTTTGATAGGGGCCATATAGTGGGACTTCGGGAAGCTAGACTTTCTTTTCGGGCAATTGCAGTTAGAGTGCAAAGAAGTGTAGACACTGTGGTTAGGTGTTGTCACGCATGGCTTCGAGAAAGCCGTACGCAAAGAGCAAAGGGCACTGGACGCCGCCGTAGAACAACAGACCGTGAAGATCGCCGCCTAAGATTATTGGCCTTAAGGGACCGTTTCTCCACTACCAGGTCCATTGCAAATGAATGGTTTGCGAAACACGGAAGACTTATTGGCATGCGAAGTGTTTACCGACGAATGAGAAGTTTTGACTTGTTTTCATACCGGCCACACTGGGTCCTCCCTTTAACTCGAGAACACCGACGTAATCGCCTTGAGTGGTGCAGACAACGGTCTCTCTGGGATCAGGAATGGAACAGTATTGTCTTTAGTGACGAGTCTCGATTTTGTTTAGGCATGCACGATGGTCGTGCCAGGGTTAGAAGGCGACGTGGTGAAAGGAGGAATCCACAGTTTTTTGTTGAAAGACATGTTCATCACACTGTTGGAGTTATGGTTTGGGGTGCTATAGCTTATGGTTCCAGGTCATCTTTAATATTCATCAGAGGTAACATGGACGCGCAGCGTTATATCCACGAAGTTCTAGAACCCCATCTTTTACCCTATCTTGACACCCTGGCAGATCCAACTTTCCAACAAGATAATGCCCGACCACATGTTGCAAAAGTCACAATAGACTTCTTTCAACATAATGATGTCACATTGTTACCATGGCCACCAAGACCTCCCGACTTATCCCCAATTGAGCACGTGTGGGATATGATGGGTAGGAGATTGCTCAAGTTGCAACGTACTCCTCAGACTCTAGAAGCACTTCGAGAGGAGTTGGTGGTTGCCTGGAATGAGATACCACAGGAGGACATTGACCACCTGATCAGAAGCATGCCTAGGCGCGTTGGAGAATGCGTAGCACATCAGGGTGCATCCACACATTATTAAAGGTCAAAGGGCTTTAAAGCAGTGCAATCATTTTGAAATTTTAACATTTACTTATTATGCTTCATTAAGTACTTATCCAATTTTTTTTTTGTTATTAATAAAACCATTTAAACTGGGTGTTCGGATTTATATGTCACTTAGTATAAATTTTTAGCTCTTTTAAATTCCAAGTAATAAAAATAAATTACTTTATTAGATAAACCCTGATACACATTGGAGAAAAAATCAATGTTTTTTAAAAATAAATACTATATTTTGCGACACTATTCAATCTAATTAAAAAAAAATCTCTTAAAATAATCCAACATAAATTTATTTATTTTAAGGAATAAATATTTAAGTTGTCAATAATTATTCATTTTCGAGTTAAATTGAATTCCACAATTAACCTTTTAATGTAAATATAATATTAATTTTGGGAATTTCTAACTCGTCGTTCTAGAGTCACTTTCCGATACATCTACCTTGTTACGACTTATTTCATCTTAAAATGAAAGCGACGTACATATTTTAGAGATTTCAGGCAAGTACTGTCGGAAATACTGATTTATACTATCAAGCAGCCAAACAGACCGCTGTGACAGACAATAAAGAAAAGGTCTAGCTTTAAACCGTACTCGATCGTTTTAAACGACCGACTCCCCATGGAAATGCGCAACGCCGTGTTGTGATTCGCTTTGTTATTGCTTGCTTTGTATCGGGTCACAGCGTGCTCTGTTATCCGGTCACTGGACATATAAAAACTCCCTCCATTTGCTGAACGGCGATGTACACATCTCATTTTTCACCTAATGGCTGTGTTAAATGATGCACTCCGTTTCCCTACGGCTCTTGATTTGTTCCATTGTGTCCGTTGTTTCGTTCCGCGGAGGATTTACTCCGTTTTTAGATCGTTAAATCAAACGTGCTGCACAGTCAGGAAAAAAGCTGAGCTCCTAAGCAAGGGAAAATTTGGATGGCACAGAGTCCCAACGAAAAAGGAATGTAGTTTGGAGAACAAACTGAAAAAGATAACGAAAAGGTGTTTTTGTGGTAACATTGGTTCATAGTTCATATATTGAAATTATTTCAATACAATATACAGGGTGTTCCATAACATCCTGTCATAGCAAACATGTGTTTTTTACTATATTTTATTTATATATATTATATACGTACGGTTTTGATTGTAAATTAGTAAATATCTTGTGAAATGCTCAACTTTGGCGGCTCGCATCTCCACCATTTTTGAAGATATTTGGATAAATTTTAGATTTCAAAAATTTTATTATTATCGATTTTTAGCTGATCTGAAGGAAAGGCTAAAATATATTTCAATTTCTATCTGGTATCTCAAAACGCAAAATGTACATTTTCTCATTAATTTCAAATGGAACACGCTGTATATTTCTACTTCACATTAAATAGATTTCCCTCAAGACTTTTTATTTGACTTGTGGCTTATACCGATTATTTCGAGCACTTTTCGAGTCCAACAAAAAAATATATTACACATATAATAATAATAATATTGTCTTTATTCGATTTTTTTACACAATATGCCCAACATACAACAATAGACATTAATAAGTGACTGAATTTTTGAGAATCAAATTGGTGGAGTGTTACCATGATTTTTCAAATCCACCGTTCATCTTAATATGAAATTGACCTTTTTGAGAGTCTCAAAAATGAATAATAAAGTCATCAGCTATCTATTATGTGACGTACGGACCCTCCAGGATGCATTTCAAGGATGGCACAGGACTTCCTATCATCAGGAGAAACACCTTGATCTCTGATGATATGTCCCAAAAATTGCAATTTTTTCACGCAAAACGGTGACTTGAGTGTTAAGCCACTATTCTGGATTCTCTGTAGCACAATGTCTAGACGAAGATTATGCTCTTCGATAGTCCTTCCATATACCAAAATATTATCGAAATAAGCCACTTGCCCCTCAATATCCTCTAGAACAGGAGTTCCCAGCTAGGGTGGCGCGCCTCGCATGGGGGCATAGAGAGATGTCAAGGGGGGGTGGGAACCGTTTGCATTTTAGAAAAAAAAAAGAATCAAACAACATGAACAAATAACATTACAATGTTTAATTTACACGCATAAAATAGAAATAAAATATTATATTCACTTATTCTGTCAACCGCTGTTTCGAAACCCGGAGTCGTCAATCGCAGTTCATACAAGTTTCGACAAGTCACTGCATGAAATCCGCGCATACTCCCGCCGCGCTCCGCTATTCAACACTTAGAAAACAATTGTGTACCTACCAGACGCGGATGAGCATCTGTGACATTCATTACCACAAACTTGCGAAGAATTTGACGTTTCGATGTACAAGTTTTGTTGAGAAATCTGTTTGAGTGTGTCAAATTATTGTGTCTCACTGTTAAAAGGTAAGTTTGTGTATTTACAAACTTCAGTTACCATTTTTATTTAATTTACTAAATTGTTGATTGAGTGGAGACGCGTTCATAGATCGGCACATCACAATCAAATCAACGTGGCGAAATAATTTTGAAACGACGAATTTTAGGTACCTAATATTGATTCCAAATGTATTTAAAATTACTATTATGACGTCAACCTGCCTACAAAAATGTAAATCTCCCGGTGGCCAATATACTGTTGAATACATTACGTTATTAAGATAAAATATTGGGCATATAATTAGTAATTACATGTAGGTATTTTGTTTATTTATTTATTACTTATTTGTTTTATTGTTATAGGTGCAAAATGGCAGCGAAAAAACGAAAGCTTTCCGAAGATTATTTTAAGTTTGGATGTACCTTCATAGAAAAAGACGAGTTACAATTGCCTCAGTGTGTGATATGTATGAAAGTTTTAAGTAATGATACCATGTAGCCCAATGGCCTTGAAAGGCATTTGAAGCAACAACATCCTACTCTGATTTTGAAGACGAAAGAATGTTTTCCTTCTAAAGCAGAATTATTCAAGCGGATGAGACTGGATAAATCGGGAAGTTATCACACATGTGTATCGCAGCATCTGAAAGCTTCATTTAAAATAGCTTTTAAGATAGCAAAGCAAAACAAACCTCATACTATCGGTGAAGAATTAATACAACCATGTGTCCTAAAAGCCACGCAGATAATTTTAGGAGAAGATGCAGAGCAAACAATGAAGTCTATTTCTCTTTCGAGTAACACATTCAAGCGTAGAATCGATGACATTGCAGCAGACATAAAGTCACAAATAATTAGCAAAGTAAAATTATCGCCATTTTTTGTCATTAGTTGCGATGAACCCACCGACATCGTTAATTGTGCACAGTTAATTGTTTATGTTCGCTACATCGGCAGAGATATCATTCAAGAAGCAATTTTGTACTCCCAATCTTTGAAAGCAGCTACTACTTACACCTGAAGGTATATTTAATTCAATATCAAATTTTATTGAAAAAATCATTTGGATTGGAAGAAACTCATTGGACTTTGCACAGATGATGCACCTGCAATGATAGGTGTACGATCGGGCTTAGCTAAAAAGCCCAAGGAAAAAATCCCGCAATAGTTAGTACACATTGTGTTATTCATCGGCAAGCTTTGGCTTCCAAAACGTTTCCACAGAAATTACGTCAGACTTTGGACTTGAAGGAATGCTGAGGATGCATCTAGCAAGCTGAAATACTTGGCATCAGCTAATCGCGTAAACAAGTATCTGTGGTGGGAATTTCAAAATTTTCTCGCCTAATATATTTATTTAAGTCTCTAGGGTCCATACATATCCTAATATCGTCATCAGGTTTTGCAACGATGACGATGTGATGCACCCAATTTGTAGGCTCCTTAACAGGTGTTATAATTTGTTTGGACACCACTTCATCAACGTCACGCAACGCCAATTGTATCTTTCTTGGAGCACTAACACTAGATATTGCACCTTCAGTCAACGTTATAGAGAAATTTTGATGAACTTATCCTACCCCTGAGAAAACATTGAGATGTATCTCAACTATTTGCTGAACAACTTCAGGACCAGCTTTATTAGTCAAACACAAAACGTTGCCTTTGTTCTGATTGGCAAAATATCTAACACCTGACAGGTAGAAAGTTCCAAAATGGAACATGGAGCACTGGAGTCTAAAATGTGGAACAAAAATGTACCAGTTTTATTACCATATTTGCACTTTAGGTCAATTTGGACTAGCACACCTATTTCATGTATATGAGACTAAATTACCACTTTTGGACAGTCTTTTACGTGGCACATTTAATAGCTGAAAGTCAGAGTATCTAAGAGTATTTGCCATACGTCCACTGTCTATTTTCATTGATACCAGGGGTGTCTTTTAAGTTTTGCATATGGAAATAAAACAACACGGTAGGTAGTTTTAAATGACTTTATTGTTTTTCGAAGTATTCTCCACGAAGATTAATACACATCTACATGCGCTCGAACCAATTTTCGAAGCACTTACTTCACTCGCTTGCTGGCAGATCCAGAACGACATTTTTAAGACTTAGATCGGGACTATATGGAGGATGGTGCAATAATTCCACGTTTTCTTCCGTTAAGTACTCCCTTGCTTTTTGGTGTGTGTGCCAGCTTGCATGGTCTTGGTGGAGGGTGATTCCTCTTTCGGTGTTGATTTTTCGAAGCTCGGTGATGACTTTTGGCAAACAAATGGCGGTATACCAATCCGCAGTAACAGTTCTTGGCTCATTAAGAGGAATTGTTGCAATGTGACCCGCTTTTGACACAAATGTCGCGACCATCTTTTTCCAAACACTTCAAGAACGGATGAGTTTTGTTGGCTTTTCTTCACCTTGGAACACCCAAATAGCCGACTGTCGTTTATTTTCTGGTTCATAACAGTAAATCCACGATTCGTCACCACTAACAATGCTGTACACATTTTTTGAGTTTCCGGAATTGAAACGGTCAAGCGTTTTTTGACATCAATTAACCCTGGCTGATTTCTGCACTTCAGTCAACGAGAAACTAATTTTCTTACTCCTAATTCTTCACGTAAAATTTTTTGAATTGAGGTCTTTGAGATCTTCAAGCACGCCTCAATCTCGCGATATGTCACATGTATATCTTCAATGATGAGTTTGCGCACATCATCGACGCTTTTTTCCTGGGTGACTGCCGTTTTTGGTGCACCCACCCTGGGATCGTCGCTAAGATTCACCCGTCAACGTTTGAATTCTCCATACCAACGGCAGTACCTCAGCAAGGCAGTCTTGTTGCGATAATTGTCTCTGAAAGTTGTAATGAATTATGGCGCGAAAATGTTCCCGGTTGAGTTCCATTTTGGTGACACTTAAAAATTCACTGTAGTGAGAACACTGCACGTATTGTTGTGAAACTTTGAATTTAAGTTTACTAAAGAGTGAGGTTAAGATTCAGGACTGACGTTCGATCCGCGCGGCCTACCCTGTTTCTATATGCAAAACCTAAAAGACAGCAGACAATACTTGCCATAATGTCCCTTTTCACTACAAAAACTACGATTTAGGGCAGGTACTTACCTCGTGCATGCTTTTGACCGCAATATTTGCACCCTACTTTACCTCTCCTTGACGTATCCCACCTAGTTCCAGCATAATTTGAACAGGAAGCATCAGGACGGTATCTTGGAGTCATCACCGTTCCTGGAACTGCTACATCTTGGAGGCGCGCTCCCCGGTAACTTGCTCCATCCTCAATCGTGCTAAATCGTAACAGTAACCTTAACTATTTCCCTTTGAGTCACTACACTTGTTTCCATTGACCACACTATATTCACAGCCTCACTTAAATCGAGATTTGGATATTGAGGCAGAAACAATTCGATCATGAATCGAAGTATTTTTCCCCACACAATGGCACGTAGAAGCTAACTGCCGCAAAGCAGTTACAAGCTGGTCAATTGTTTCCCCAGTCGCTTTTTTGTTGGATTACAATACGTTTAAAATTTGTTTAGGATGAAGGTGTTATATATTTTAATACCCTCATCGCCCTGTAGATTTAACAAAATCGCTACTTCTACGGCATCGCTTTTGGAAGTTTTCCCACTTGCGAGGAGATACAATACAATCTCTTGTTAACAAAGTTTCCCATTGTTAGGAAGATCACCACTAAAATCAAGCATTGCCGGTGTTTTAACTTGACTATTGTCACTCATTGTTACACAAACCGTTGGCAACACGATTTCATAGATCCCGGGATATTATTTCCGACTTGGCAACGCCGCGTGTCCCGATCGCCTGTGTTTGAATTTTCGAGAGTGCCGCGTGCGGATATAACCGCGATCTCCTCAGCGTCGCAAAAAACCGTTCACGTTTCAATCACTTCACGACGCGTTACCGCTGTCACCATGTGATGTACGGACCCTGCAGGATTCACAGGATCAGGAACTAACTTGCACGCACTGGTTCGGATACTCGTAAAGCGATTTATTGAACTCGAAAATACGTTCAGCATGTTACGCGTCACAACGCTGATGAAGTACTGTCTTACATAGTTGTCAAGTTGACCAACTTGAAGATACGTATGTGTTGCACACATATGTGATATATTACTATGGATTTATATGTTCTTTGTAAAACTAGATGAAGATATCGTATGTGACGAATTTATTTCGAAACTACCAAGGTAGATAGGGTGAGGGAGTGATTATGTACTGCTGATTGTACACGACTTCAGTTTTTTTTTTTATTATTCAGAGTACAATTTAGAGATTCATATGGAAGATTATCGTATTGCTAACAGCAGTGTAGAGGAGTTCTTTCTGTAGAGAGACGTAAAGTGCTTAGGTATAACTAGCAATTATCGATTTCTGGTAGCCAAGTTATTGACGTTTTCAAACTTGTTGAGTTTATTTAAAATATATTTTGGTTTCTTATTCACTAACATTTTATGAACCAAATATACTAAGTGACATATAAATCCGAACACCCAGTTTAAATGGTTTTATTTTAATAAAATTTTGTATACGTAATTAATGAAGCATAATAAGTAAATGATAAAATTTTCAAAATGATTGCACTGCTTTAAAGCCCTTTGACCTTTAATAATGTGTGGATGCACCCTGATGTGCTACGCATTCTCCAACGTGCCTAGGCATGCTTCTGATCAGGTGGTCAATGTCCTCCTGTGGTATCTCATTCCAGGCAACCACCAACTCCTCTCGAAGTGTTTCTAGAGTCTGAGGAGGACGTTGCAAATTGAGCAATCTCCTACCCATCATATCCCACACGTGCTCAATTGGGGATAAGTCGGGTGATCTTGGTGGCCATGGTAACAATGTGACATCATTATGTTGTCTATTGTGACTCTTGCAACATGTGGTCGGGCATTATCTTGTTGGAAAGTTGGATCTGCCAGGGTGTTAAGATAGGGTAAAAGATGGGGTTCTAGAACTTCGTGGATATAACGCTGGTCGTTCATGTTACCTCTGATGAAGATTAAAGGTGACCTGGAACCATAAGCTATAGCACCCCAAACCATAACTCCAACAGTGTGATGAACATGTCTTTCAACAAAAAACTGTGGATTCCTCCTTTCACCACGTCGCCTTCTAACCCTGGCACGACCATCGTGCATGCCTAAACAAAATCGAGACTCGGCACTAAAGACAATACTGTTCCATTCCTGATCCCAGAGTGACCGTTGTCTGCACCACTCAAGGCGATTACGTCGGTGTTCTCGAGTTAAAGGGAGGACCCAGTGTGGCCGGTATGAAAACAAGCCAAAACTTCTCATTCATCGGTAAACACTTCGCATGCCAATAGGTCTTCCGTGTTCTGCAAACCATTCATTTGAAATGGACCTGGTAGTGGAGAAACGGTCCCTTAACGCCAATAATCTTAGGCGGCGATCTTCACGGTCTGTTGTTCTACGGCGGCGTCCAGTGCCCCTTGCTCTTTGCGTACGGCCTCCTCGAAGCCATGCCTGACAACACCTAACCACAGTGTCTACACTTCTTTGCACTCTAACTGCAATTGCCCGAAAAGAAAGACCAGCTTCCCGAAGTCCCGCTATACGGCCCCTATCAAACTCACTACGTTGACGAAATCGTACAGGTCTCCGTACTCTAGGCATCGTAACCGATCGTAAAGGATGTCAAGAACCAAAATACGCCAACGTTGATTCTTTACTGCGGCTGAAATATTCATTTTTAGAGCGTTAGTGAATTAAAAAAAAATCAGTATAAAAACCGAAATGTCCAACTGATAAGGCTGAAATTTTTTTCACTTGTTACTTACAGTGAGATAAATACATTCACCAACTTTGATTGAAATAAAACCATTTAAACTGGGTGTTCGGATTTAAATGTCACTTAGTATATAAACTTTGGTATTTTTTGAGATACTCCTTGTTCATCTTACAATTCTCTTTGTGCACATGGCTTATTATGATCAAATTTCCGTATACCTATAAAAAAACCGTAACTAGAATTTTGTAGCCGTTTTTATTACAGCTGGGCCATATACACTTGCGCAGTATAAAACCCTTGGAATTATAAGACACACAATGCCATTTTCAGTTTACTATTTAATATATTTCTTTGAGAATATATTTGTTATCACTACATAGTATAGCCCTTAAAGACGATATAGTTCAAAGCCTGTAGCATAACCCACGATTCGCAATAAGTATTTATTCTTTCATAAAACGAATTACACCGGAAAAGAAAAAAACGCAACCCTATCTTGGCGTTGCAGGCGAAAGCCTTTGTCTGACAAAGACATGTTTCAACGGCGCAGTGTACGGTGATAAATTTATTTTTTTAATTGGGTTTTTATAATCCTGCAGGCATGCCTTTTGTAAAAAATGTTAGCGCTGGCTGCTTTTTTCGAACATCAATCTTAATTTCCGTTAATATTCCACTTTTTCGGACTGCGGACTGCTTCCTCGGCGCCTGCTGGGTTTATTTTTTATGATTCGTTTAACAGTAGGGCACTTGATGCTTACAACTATACAAGGTGTCCGCAAAGTTGGGAGCTTTTTTCACACTGCGCATAGATTTCGAAAAAAGGATAAGCAGTTTTTTCTACACAAAGGTTTTAGTTGAAGAAAAGTGGGATGTTGCGGCGACGACTAGAAATGTCATCTTCTCAGGTAGATGCCGGTTTCTCTAACTAAACAATGACGTCGACAATTTCGGATTATATACAGGGTGGCCCATCCATGTGTGGACGGAATATTACTCATAAACAAATACATTTTGAAAAAATCTATTCATGAGATGTTATACATGACATTTGAGGGCACATTTCTGAAGTATTGGCCATTATACAGGGTGTCCCAATTTCGACATACTTATCAAAGCAGATATTTTGCAACTGGAATGTCTCAAATTTTATTGCATATTTGGATAGACCAATTCAAAAGAAGAAAACTGATATATCATACTATAAGGTTTTGGTAGTTAGCTACTGAGATATAAGGTGTTTTGTCTATAAAAACCCCCCACTTCGGCAACCCCTTAGGCCGCCATTTTCAAATTTGGAATGCTGAATTTTGTATAAAAAAAAACTAACACACCTCAGCTTTTATCTTATTTGTTACTTTTCCGAATTTTGATTTTTGCTCATACAGGGTGGTCAAAAACGCAAATTTTAGTTTTTCTCAAAAGTTTCAAATGCACCACCCTGTATAAATATATATAAATTACATACATATGTACATACAAATTGTAAAACTATTACACAGAAAGACTTACTAGTTGGTAAAAATAATTACATTTCTGCCAGGCAGATGTTGACAGTTTGGGTGTAGATCAACTACTGGCGTTACATTTTTCACACCGCAGCAACCGCGCAGGCAGACGCCTAAATGCCAGGGCATCGCCGCTCCAATGAGGAGGTTAAAGAAACTTTGTTAATCCGTTTTTCGAACCGCCTATGGTTAGCACAACTGGGAAAAGCTTCCTCATGTAGATTGTTCCACAATCTCGATATCCCACGGACAAAGGAGCGGTCGTATCGGCCAGCTCTGGATGTACGAAGTTTGACGCGGCCGAGATCGGGCGAGTCTGTCTGTACAGAACATCGCGCGGTGACAAATATTTCCTAATAAAAATGAAATCCAAAGGTAAAGTCTATATACAAGTTGATTATGTTATTTATATTGAGTGAGTGGCATGGAAGGTAGAATGCACCAGCTACGTTATTTTTATGAAATTTATATAGATACTTGATTGATTATTGGTATCAGTTCTATAATTCATGCTGATAGTGTTTTTCTTTATCTATATTATTTCAAGGATGTTTTTTTTTTAAATAGTCTGGCTCTTTGTCTAGGATTTTTATACTTGGAAAATCATATTCATGCCGATTGATTTTTGTATTTCTTATGTCATTCTTATGCTTATACATCCTTCTCTTTATATATTGCTTAGCCTGTTCTATATATAGTAAGCAGTAAGTAAATTTATTAGCAACAGATTCAACATGTATACAGTTTTTTACATCATATTAAATATATAGACTTTACAATTATTGTATAATATTTAAATCCAGCTATCTATTCTTAAAATTACCCACTATTGCTAATAGTTTTAGATGCACAATTGTATTCAAAATACTGTGTGTGCACCCCATTCACATTGTTCAGTGTAACTTTTTCATTGAGGTTCTTAATTCTAGTTTACAAAGAGAAAAAGAAATATAAAAATAGATCAAACAAATTCAAAGCTATTATGTTTTATCTTAAATTTTAGGAACATAATACCTTTAATGCTACAGGTTTTTATATTACATAATTAATGGCGTATTGACTATCAATAATCCATCTTGTTAATTCCTTTTTAACAGTAGAATATCTCAATCTCTTAATATGAACTTGGACAATCGTTTCCGGGCACTACTTTCAACTTTCTTTTCATAGCTTTAAGATGTAGCGAGAATTTCTGAAGAGGATCATATATAAGTACGTATATTTAGAGAGGCTCACTTTTATAGACTACATACCTACATCATTATGTTCAAACAGGATTTGTGTAACCAATATTTTCAATTTGTTAGTAAGGAAAATGGAGCTATTATTCGGGCAATTACTATTGTACATTATAGTAACCCCAACTAACAATTATCACTCCTACTAGAGTTGTAAGAATGTATTCCTTAAACAGCATTGTATACTGTAAGAACATTGGCAAAACCCTCTTAGAACAGCTATACAAGCGGAATGGGCACACCTAATAGGGCACTTCAGTCATTTAAGAGGTTGTATAAGGGCTGCAGGTAACAGTTATAAAACAAAAGTGTAAGCCTCTTGCAGCCGCTATAGGACATTTGCGTCAGTGCAAGATTCAGTTTTTGTCAACTATGCAACTATTCTGTTACGTGATTCTACTCTATTGCAACCAAACTATTTCTTATGTATTGTATAGACAAAGTGAAGAATATATAACTAACACATTACAGTCATCTTGTTTACTTACATATCGGCCATTGTGAATTTCATACACAGGTATATGACAAACTTCTACACTTTGATATAGGGCTATTGAATAACTTGCGCAGCTAATTTTATTGTGATTATCGTGCAAATTAGTTACCCAGTTTCTACGGGCTTCGTATTTGATTCATATTTTGACAATGATCAAAAGTATGTCTAGATTCTTAAGATGGAAAACTGAACTTATCTGCGTTAAATCTTCCACAAATCCTATATTTAGACACAATTACACTAATGTTTATCACTTTGTATCTGTAATTTCGAACTGAAACCTAATTATTTAATATTAAATAGAGGAATAAAGGTTTGCCCAATATGGCGGGTGGTTGTGTACAATCATGGCATCATCCATGCCCAACTAACAATTATCACTCATATTAGAGTTGCAAGAATGATTATTATAGAGAGCTGAACCGTTCTTTTACCAAAAGCTTATAATACCACTAATTTGCTAGTTGGGACGTTTAAAGAAATTCCAGAAAAATACACTGATTATTTGAGTGTTGAGTAACGAATATTTCTACGTTTCTTGAGAGTGACTTACACTCCGAATGAGTTTATCCTGTAGCCTCCTACGGACATAGGACTCTTCTTAAAAAATATGTTGTCAATTGTACTTAAAAAGACCACAGTAGTGGTCGAGACAAAAAACTGAAATTTAAACATAGTATGTGGTTTTGTTTCGACAATGGAGTTCTAGGTATTTTTGCCTTAGACGTTAGCTTAGGGTTAACTTTGGTAACACAGTTACCTAACGAGCTGCTGACAAATACTGAAATTCAACATCTGAGGGATCCGAATCTATCAATCATAGCAATACACCATTAATCAAAACCTTGAAATATAAAAAAATTCTAAATAGAGTATATATACAGTGTGACTTTGAAGTTGAGTCATTAATTTTCAGATAATGATTGTAGAAGGAAGATAAACCAAAATAGGTGTGTAAAAAAAAAATAAAAAAAAATTTTACCTTGCTTTATAAAGTATCCTCCCGACAAGTATTTCAGTGCGGACCTGTATTTGATCGTGAGGTCTTGGAGCACCGGCATGCCGTCCATATGTGAGGTCTTAAGTCAAATGATTCACGAACTCGTTGTACTACATTAACAAAGGCACGAGGGGTTGGTTGCACTCGATTGGGAAACCGATCCGCATAAACATGTGCCACTTTTTATTTCGTTTGAACCACGAACAGAGACCACTATCCACTACCGACTGACACTGACTGTATACAACTGAATGAAATAATTGTAAAAACATCGTTCCAAATTCTTTCGCTTTTTTGTTTCCGATGCGATGAACCGATAAGGCGAATTATATCCGTTGTCACCAAACACGAGCACTTAATATTATTATTGAGACAGGGCGGTACTCAAACTTCCAAAGGGCTATAACTTTGTTACTTTAATTTTACCAGAAAAATGGTAAAGGAAAAAACATTTCTTTTGATCAGATCTACTCACTGTTAAAATAAATGACTCAACTTCGAAGTCACCCTGTATATATATATATATATAATTATATAGTATCCATGGTTAATTGCTTTAACTGTTAGGAGAAAATTTTCTTGAATTGCCTTGGGTAGAAGGCAAAGTATTGTAAAACTCGAGCTTTCGAAGATCTATGTCTTCATCGTCTGGAGCTGGAAACAATTATTGACAATATCAACAATTAACTAAGTCGGCGAGATTGTTGCTGAAATTGTTTTTAAGCAACAGTGAAGGGAACATATAGTTCTTTTTTGATAAATTATACAAACATCTGTTAATGTCAACGTTATAAAGTATGAAATGCTTCTAAAATGTTAGTGTTACGTGTACATAAAATAAATAAATCATGGCTTATTTGGATTGGCATACTGAGGCTAAGCTTGCTCAATTCATGACATATTCCACAACATTTTCACACGTGTATACTTGAAATTCCTCTGATGCGAAGTGGCCTTTGGGTAAAACATGCACTTTCCGAATGAATTTTTTCTTGACGCGCATTAATCAATCTGGGAATGTAATTTTATCCTTTAAGTTCGCCGTCGGAATGCGATTTCGCCAAAATCAGCAGACCATACATTTCCATTCGTGAAATGTGGCGGGCTGTCTAAGCTCCGGAAATTTAGATTGATGCTCGAAAAGACTGACAAATGCAATTTAATGCGTCTGCAAAACGAATGCTCGATTGGGAAGGTTATTGATGATTCATCTAGATTTTCTATTTTGAAAGCGTAAAAAATAAAAAGTCATCCACGTTTGATGTCATTTTTTATTAAGCAAAGGAAACGCCTATGGCATTCGTTTAGTGAATCTTGCTTTTCTTCTCACGCCTACTGACGGAAGATTTGATATGTATATTTTTGGCTGGCATACAAAGTGAGAACCGACAGAAGGACTGAAGATACAATTGTGGTTTTAGGTATAATCTGGAGGCACGTCATTCGTATATCTAGAAGTGGCGAGTATACACGGAAAAAACTATTTTAAATGTATGACTTGTATATCGGGCAAAGTGAGTACCGACCGAGCTCCTAACATAACGAGGTCCGTATATCCAAATACACACAATAATCAAACTGAGGACCTTTCAGGATATATTCTCGCTTAGCGCATACAGAATGAGGACCGTACAAGCTGTGATGCCAGCAATAGAGAAAGAGAGAGAGGGAGAGAGAGTTGTTGACCGTTTGAGTAGCTTAAATAATTACCAAATACCTCAACACGCAATAATAAAATGACGTCAAGTAGGTTGACTAGTTCGATAATCACGATGTTCAGTGCATCAGGATACATTTCGTGAGCATACGTGAAATGTCGTCCACTCAGGAGCGTGAAAAACTCCACCATCCAACATTAATATGGCATCAAGTAGGTTGACTCACTCTAGGAGTACCGTGATTGGGCGACTTAGGATACATTTCGTGAGCGTCTGCGAAATGTTATCCATGCAGGAGAGTGAAACACTCCAACATGCAATAACAAAATGTCGTCAAGTAGGTTGACTCGTTCGGGAATCACGATATTCAGCAGATTAGGATACTTTCCGTGAGCACCTGTGAAACGGGGTCCATGCAGGAGTGTGAAACACATTAACTAAGCAGCATTAAAATGACATCAAGTAGATTGACTCGTTCAAGAAATAACTTTATTAGGAGGATTGGGATATATTTCGTCAGCGTATTCGTATACAAACCTCACTTTGTTGCATTCCTCACTTTGTATGCAATGGTGAGAGAAAACATAATATGATATGTATGTAGTAACACAAAATAATGAAATAAAAAGTGACTTTAAGGACGCAAAGATTCATGTAATTGTCGTTTGTTTTTTAAATGGCGTGTTGAAATCGTATTTCTAATTTAGAAGGATGCTCCAAAGGCTCTGATCTCCCTGATTTTTTAGCAAACTTTTGAGGTGCTTGGTGAGGGTAATACCTTTAGCATAATTTGGAATAGGTTCTGAACCTCATCGATATCAGGATCTTCGGGAAGTTCTTATATTTCATCTGGATTTTCAATTTCTTCGTCAAATATAGGCGGCAGGAATACGTCTAATATCACACCAGAACTACAGAACCAAGATCGATGTCAGACCACTGGAAGTAGCAGTCGCAGTCGGTACAGATACGGTGCCTGTTAGATGTAATAACATAAAAAAAATGAGATAAACCCTCTCCTACCCCTACAGCCTCCACCCCAAAAATTTTCACCTCTGAAACGTCAAAAAATTAACATTTGAGCGACTTGACCGACAGAAATGAGTGACACGGTTTTTCGTGATGTACATTTTATGCAGTTTTTGCAATTAAAAAACTCCCGCTCTATTAGGCGCGGTAAGTAGGGCCGGGAATTTTCTTTTGAAGTGACGCTTGCAAGGTACAATAGAAAGCCACTTCTCCATCGCGTTGTGAGTCGTGATGAAAGCTGGATCTATTTCGGACCTCGGTTAGCCGCGTGGGTCAGTGTCGTGCTACTGATCAGCCGGCCGGCCGGGCCGCGAGTTCGAATCTCGCCTTCGCCATGGATGTTGTGTGTTTGTTTTAGGCAGCAGCGGTGGCCGCAGTAGTAGACTCTTCGGTCTCCTGATCAGCCGCCGTGCGCTGTGCGGGTTCGAGTCCCGTCCCAGGAGAAATGTTTCTCTTGGCCATGGATGTTGTGATTGTCCGTAGGTGGTAGATGGTCTCTGACTGTCGAACGCGGAGGTACCACCCGGCGGTTCTCGTAGGCGGAGCCAGAATGTGTGCATGTTGCATGCACACGTGTTCCCTCGCCAGAGTCCGTGTGGCGTCCCCCCTTTCCCATGTATCCACCATAGCCCCACGGTACCCAGTGAGTGCTTAGGCCTTACGCCTTCGTGGTAGTTGGAGTATAAAAAAAAAAAAAAATCCTAAGCGAACCACAGGTCTGCTGACTTGATCTACATGTCGCAAAGCGATTAAATTAGTCGACTCTGGAAGTGGAAGTTCCTGGACCATAACCATCAACTTCAACGTAGCTCATCTCGGCGACCCCAAAACGTCAATTCATCGCAGCCAGACACCCCTTTTCCCTGTCTCTCTCCTCCAACATTCGTGACAGATATCAAATTTTATTCTCCCTGAAAATTGGTTGCGGTGACGATGAAAATATGTAACATGTTTAATCGAGTTAGAGAATTAACAGCCGCAGAGTTGTTGACGTTGGTTGGTAAATGGAACTGAAAAGTTGCACGTATATTGTTTTGTACCTGTCTGCACAGTGCGCTGGGAGTAGATTATCATGTTTTTGAATGAAATAGTGACTCATTTTGAGCGTTTTAGTACGTTCTGTGAACACGGGAAAACTAACCGCGGTATACATGTAGGGAAAATCTAAATGAGGGTGAATTCGTATTTTTATACCAGGATCCGGAAACCGAAGCCACAAATATGCTACCTTGCCACGCGTTTTTTCATAAACAAGAGGAGATGGTGGTATGATTCCTCTTTCCTTTTTTTTTAATTAATTAATGAATTGATAAAGCACTATGAATGAAATCTAAGGATCATTAAATGCAAAACAGCTGTCAAGCGGCGTGCAAATTTAGGCCATACCTCAATAAAACGGAGAGTAGGGGGGGTTAAGAGCGCCAGTGACTCAAGGTGGGTTAAGCCCCAAACCCCAAGATGTTAGTTAGACCACTACATAAAAAAAAAGAATCTAACAGTAACGATGAAACCGCATTAATTGTACAAAGAGAGCCAAATAAAACAAGATATCCCCCATGGACAATGCGCCTACCCGATATTAATACATCGCTTAACTGTTACACCGAAAGAGAAACCAATCATATAGTCATCCAAGAAAAATACAGAGAAGTAATTGAACACTACAAAAACCATATGCTCATCTTTACCGATGCTTCGAAGTCGCGAAATGGAGTGTGATGTGCAGCAATTCAAGAAAAAAACAAGAAAACAGCATCTCTCCCCCATCACAGCAGCATCTTTACCGGAGAGCTAACTGCTATCAAGTTAGCCCTAAGTATCGCAGAGGCAACCGCAACAAGGAATATACTTATTCTGTCCGACTCCATGAGTGCACTGGAAGGAATCAAGCAATTATACCCGCAACACCCTATTCTTAAAGAAATAAAGCAATGTATCAACCTACTAGCCAACAAAATGAAGACAGTGAAATT